ACGCTGTCATTGTGCCGTGCAGCTGCTTAGTATTGGCGCGGCGCTTACTATCTCAGTTGCTGGCGCTATTGCGTTTCGCCAAGCAAAAATATAGTTAATCCCGAAAACCAGTACAACATAGAGTGTATTGTCGGCGTTGATGTTGATGTGGTTACGGCTCGGTCCCAGCAACGTATTGAGTACCACAGCGAAACGGGGCCGGCTAAGTAAAGCCAAGCCACAACACCCAAAATACAGTACAAGTAGCGCTGTCCAGCTGCACTGTTGATTACAGCTAAGCAAAATGTAGAGCATCCGTGCCGTGTGTGAACATTGTCCCATGTTTGCGGTTGCCGCCTTTACCACTGCACCGAGTTCTAATACAACCCGTGGGCAAAGAAGACCAAGAAGCCAGTACGATGGCGTGTTAGATGCACACTTGCATATGTACATTTGTATGTAGTGCGAAAGTCATTTTAGCAACTTTTAACGATGGAAACGCATGTACCAGCTGCAGTGAGTGCCCGTATCTGGAAAGCCATCGGAATTTGTCTGGAATTTGTTTGGTGGATTTGATTCCTTCCCACGGAGAGAATTATTCATACTCACATTGCTTAAGGTCCTTAATGCTTACATATAATGTACGATGAATCTACGAACAGCTTCCAGGAGTTTAAAAAAATCGATGCCCAGCTCAGCTAAAGTCAGATTACGGTAGAGGTCCCCACGAGATTATTTTCAATATTTCTATTCACAAAATTTTCGTGTTTTTCTTAACCACTTGTATAGCTCTAGAAGTAATGTTGCCGTTATTATTATGATAGATTTTATTTTGTGTTTTAATGAGAAGAATTTGAAACAATTTTAAAGAAAATAATCTTCGATGAGCTTTCCGAGGTGAGGAATAGTTTTTGACTTCTTTTACACTAAATATTTCATAGCATATAACTGTTTCTGACCATTTTTCAAAATCAATTTAGCTTCAGTTTTTGTCATAATCTGATCACACTGATCGTAAACTTTCGAACAGACTTGGACTTGGACTCGCTCAATTTCAAATACATACTATTTACTCTTAAACTTCACGTCGGAACCAAAGATTGTGGAGGGAAAAAGCATCACAGATCGCAATGAAGCAGCACTGATTTCACAACAGATTTAAGTAGATGAAATTCTTTTCAGGTCACCTACTTAGGAAGTTGTTAAGCTGTAAGATTTGAGGAATGTACTCTTTAATTTACCAGATATATGAGGATGTAGCTCTAAATTGGCACCAGTATATAAGTAAATATGTAAATACCTATGTATGTTTGTACATAAATTTTTTGTTCTCGCCAGTTTTAATTAAAATTTATAAATGACTTCTATTCTTCCCATTCACATGCACGTCTTTATCTAAGTATTACCAAAGCAAAACCATTACAAATACGAGTCTTTACATTCCTCAGCATTGTTTTCTGCTTTAACGCTATTGTCGCCGCTTTTCAACACACGCTTCAGCGCGCGAAAACGCTTAAGTTTTCCTCAAGATTCATCACCCACCTAGCAGCTGCTATTTTCATAGTTTTTTTTTTTTTTTTTTTTTTTNTTTGTTTTATCGTAGCTTTGTTTCTTTTGTTTTATTCATTCTGGACTCTTTTGTTCTCTCTTATTTCTAAAACTGCATTGCATTGCTAGCCGATGCGCTAAGTGTTATACATATTTTATTTCTGTCTTTTCTTACTTCTTACCATTTTTATAAGCTGCATTATTAATATTGCCTGCCCGGTTGTAAATGCTAGTTATGCTGCTTGTTTTTCGCTCTTAACTGGTCAACAGTGACAACGCACAAAAACAATAGAAACATATATATATATTGTATATGTATATATATATCTGCAGAAAAAGAAACACTTCTGTCTAGCAATCTAGGTTACTTCCGCTTTTTTGAGTGCTGAGTGCGAAAGAAAGAGTTGAGTTGTCCATTGGAAAAATGGAATAAAAGTTGTTATTTTTTGTAAATAATAATGTTTTTTTCCTGAGCTTTGAGTTACTGTTTTCAAACGGCATTTGGAAGTTGTCTTTGTCAAGGGACTCGTAGTAGATATTAGAAAAACGATTGTATAAGTTCTTTTTCTTCTTGTTTGGCTCTACAACCGTTCGTCGGTTTGGGCCAAAAAAACTTCGCCAATTGCCGCTCGCTTTTGTGATGTTGCGCCCGTTGTTCATTCCGGGCAAGTCCTTCTGCACTTAGTCCGTCCATTGCGTTTCTTTCATTGTTCACCCATGGGTACTGAGTCGAAGAACCTTTTCACCGTACATATCCTCGTCATTCATGCGTACAGTTCGTCATTCCATCTTCTTTAGTACACGTCTCCCACGTAAATAGGGTCATAGGTCATTCATAGAATAGTTCTCTCTAAAGCCCCCAAGGCCATCATAGGAGAAATTATGAGATAGCGTAATTTTTGGTCGTCGAAAATGAGAATCAATTGCCTACCGAGTCCAAAGTATCAGCTGTTGGAAGGAATTACTACTTCGCTTGATGTTTAGACTGACATTATTTGTGGTGTTTATGCTGGATGCTAGGTAGACAAAATGTTTCAGTTCTTTAAAGATATAATTGACAAGAGTGATGTGTGCCGCAAAACCCGAGGAGTTTTTTGTGTTGCCCAAAGGCACCTAGACTTGTCCTCGTTTACCGCTACCAACCAACCTCTTTCGCTTCTTTTTCTGGAAAATGCTGCGCTGATGTCCCGGACTCTGAGGTCGACGATGTCAAAATCGTTCGTATACGCCAGCAGCACCTTGCCGGAATTTCTTATTACGATTTTGAGCATTAGATTGAAAAAGTCGCAAGAGAGTGAATCGCTATTTCCTACCCAACTTGAACGCAGCTGGAGGTGGTGCTCAACGTCACTCAACTTAACCGTATTAAACAATTTTGGGTGGATTCCAAATTTAGACATGGCATCGTACAGGCAATTTCTCTTCGTGCTAGCTATCAAAGGCGGCTTTAAAATCGATAAAAGTATAATGATTCCCGACTTACTTATCTGGTGTATTCTCCAGGATTTAACGAACTCGGATTTCATTAGTTTTTTTTTTTTTAAAGTATACATACATACTATGTATCATGGTGCATATGTATGTAATTTAAAATATATTTGTGAAGCCCGATTTTTCAAATTTTATTTGTTTTCATTAAATTTTTTAGTGCAAAGTGATAAGAAGAAGATTTTGTTACTAATATTTTTAAAGGGGCGTTGCCACCTATTTGAAATTTTTAACTCAGTTAAATTGACAAAGTAAATGAAATATTGCCATGTGGGTATCAAAATAAAGAGTTTTAAGAAGGCTTCAGCCGAAAATATGTTTGAGGAGGGTTGCCATCTGTTAGAAAATTGAACTCAATTTAAAGATAAAATAAATTGCAATAAAGACATCAAATTAAAGTGCTTTAAGAAAGATGACTGTTGGAAATACTTTTGAGGAGGGTTGCCACCTATTTGAAAATTAATAATAATTAAAATTGATAAACTAAATGAAATATTTTAAAGTGGTTAGCAATTTTTATATTTTTAAGAAGTCTTACAGACGAAAATATGCTTGAGAAGGGTTGTCACCTGTTTGAAAATTTAACTCAATCTAATTGATAAAATAAATAACTTGTTACAATATATGTAGGTATATAATTAGCGAAGTTTAAGAAAGTGATTGTTGGAAATATTTTTGAAGATGATTGCCACCTGCAAGTTTGAGGTGCTTAAGAGTTCCCGTTGATGCTAAGCATTTTCCTCCAAAGAAAGTGTGCTCGGAATATTTTTTTTTTTTATATGTACATAGAGTGCCTAGCACCGTATTGGTAAACACTTTGCTTTCCCCAAATATTTTATTTTCATAGTTTTTATTATACTTATGTATATACATTCATATACAAATATACATATGTATATTATTTCTATTATTTCCTTTTTTCTTTAATTCACACTTATTTACTTCATCAGACTTATGTATTTTTTTATCGCTCATACCCTCCTTGCCATTTTGCTGGCACCATTTGTTGCCCTTGTTACCAATTGTTTATTTATCGATTTTCATGTAAGTTTTGGGACTTCTGCTCGCTGCTATATTGTGTAAACAAACAATTAAATTAAGTAGGAGTAACAATGCGTAACAAATTTATTTCTTAGTTATGAAAGAAAACTTATTTATTGAGCTGTAGAAAATATCAGTATAAAATTACTATATAAATTTATATTTGTATTTACCAACAGTTTACATTTTATTACCACACTTATGTATATCTGTAGATATGTTGTCGAGAAACTGCCATGCTGCCGAAAAATAAAAGCCGTGCTTTACATATTGTCGTAGTCAAATTGCACTAATACCACCAAATATAGGATTGTTGCTGTCATAAAACTTGCGCCAGTACGAAAATTCCATTCAACCAGGCCACAAAAACGGAAGCGAATAGTTTCACAAGCCATAAATATGCTTAGTCTTTCCAACTAAAAAGAGCAGATACATATCAGTAACATTACCGTTTATTTCATAAGCAGTTAACATAAGTATTTATTTACTTCTGGTTCAAATTTAAAAAAAAATACAAAAAGAAAACACAAATAAGAGAGGTTTTGGCAAAAGCAAAAAAAAAATTAAATGTACTGTAAACTTCAAAAAGTCACAAATTGGAAAAACGTCTCAGGAAGTGCTGAAAAATCTCAGGGGCATTTCAAAAAGCATCAAAACGCCATAAAGTAAAAAAACAAATCCTCCACAAGCCCTACCCGTATTCCGCCGCGAATTTAATTAATCGAAATTTTTCAAACAAATGGCAACTCTCCATGTTTTATGTTATAAATTATCCGGAGCTTATACCGCACAAAACAAAGAAGAATCATTAAAATCCGACAAGCCGGTTTCGAGTTTTTGTTGTGGTTTGTTAATAAAAGAGCACCCTTCAAACATGCTCTGCTACCTAACCCTAACTAAAACACAAATTTTTTAACTATTTTTGAAAATTTGTTTTCACTCACATCTTGTTCAATATCCTTTGACAGTCCTTGCAGCTGATACAATTCTCTCAACAAGAAAGTCGTCTCTTTGGAGGCCGTCATTGCCTCTTCACACAAAACCATATAGCAATACAAATCCAATATATTGACGATAAAAATTTGTAAAAACAACGTTGGCGAGAATAAATCTTTTGACCAGACTTTGCCACCCAAATATACGAGAAAGTAGAAGCTCGACATTACGCCACCATACAGCATGATGGCGAGAAATAGCAGCACCTGCCATTCGAACAGCTTGTAAATGCGTTTCGTCAAATGGCACAACTCCATATATTGGCGACACAAATCGCCAATTGCAATCGCACCAATAGTTCTACTACTACTACAACTACTACACGCTTTCGCTTTGTTGTCACCGCCAACTATTGAGTACCGCATTTCGAATTCAATATCAGTAAAATCTTCGCTTGGTAAATTGTGAACGCTATGTACGTTTTCAGCGCTGCGCTCCATTACTTCTTTAAAATTGCAATTAAGTTGCTTTAGCTGCTGGCAAATATTCAGCAGTGCAAAGTAGAAATTGGCGACAGTCAAAAGTGTCACATTCTTCACCAATACCTTCGCAAGCGCATGGAATACATAATCTAATGTTGGATGTGGTTTGATGCCAAGATTCGTACGAATGCTAGAGGCAATCTGGAGTAGTGTCATTACACATTTGGCTATTAGGTAATTATCGTAGAATTCTGCCAGTTTTTGATTCGGTTTTTGGCTGGACCACTTTTGTTGCCACCTTTGCTGTTGATTGTGCAAACCGAGCAGTGTATTGTGCAAACTCAAGAATTCATGTCTACCAAACCAATTTCTGGTTAAATTCACGAACAGTGCGGTTATGCTGAATAGCCAATGAATGCAGGCGAGTAGGATATTTAAAGGTTTGGCCGCTATTAACTCCACTATGGTTAGTTTTAAATTCAATAGATATGTATAGATAATCAAGGTGATTATAAGGACATTTGCCAATGGCCAATAGTATGCAAGCCATTTAGATGTGGTAAAGCGTCGTGTATTCGAGTTGTATTTGTACGGATAGAGACCGTGCGCGGCGGAGAATAGAAAAAGTTTAGACACGCAAGCATTTGCAATTCTTCGGCGCGTTTGACGAAATAATTTCGTTAATGTAGTTGACCACATTTCTAATTCTTTACTGAATGTGTATCCGCTATATGCAGGCAATTCATGCGGCAAACTAGAAAACACTTAACATAATTAAAATGTGCTGATAAACAAATACTGCATTGTTTTAAGTAGATTATCGAATTTTGACGGACCATTGCCGTTTACTTAGATACACATGTATGTACATTAAGGTGGGCCGAAAGCGGTGCTGGCTCCAAACTTCACGTTTCTACGTATAAATTTAGAGGATGCTAATGAAATGTTTATATCTTATTCTAGAAGTATTTTGTACATACGTATGTATGTATATTAGCCAAGCGATTGGTTAGACGACCTAAAAACTTTTCGTCACCTGAGTGGAAGCTCGACCTATCTCGGCAGCCAGTTCGAAAACGCCCTATCTCAGAAAACTCTTCAAGAACGCCCTACTCCAGAATTTGTTTGAAAAATGCCCTATTTAGAATTCAGTTCAAAACACCCTATCTCAGCTGAAAATACATTGAAAATGTGCTTAGATAGAGCATTTTTGAATCGGCAGCTGAGATGGCGCGTTCTTGAACCAGATTTTGAGATAGGGCGTTCTTCAATCAAATTCTGGAGTAGGGCGTTCTAGAGAAGTTTTCTGAGACAGAGCGTTTTCGAACTGGCTACCGAAATAGGTCGATATTTCTCTCAGGTATCGATTTCAAATTTAAATTTGCTGAAAAAGTATTACATCAGTCAGTCAGTCAGCTTCAAAGCACATTTATAGGTCATTGGGGACCCCCTGTGTTGGTTACAGTACAAAATTGAAAGCTGGTATAGTTGGTTTTCTGGTCGGTTGCATTTTTTTACACCCATACAAAACTTGTGCCACTCTAATGTACATACATATGGGAGGTTCCATGGGAAAGTGGAACTCAGTGCAAAAGTTATTTTCTTTATAAAACTAACAAACATGTGGATAAGACATTTGTAAAAATCTTGAATCAACCAAAAAATAACAAACTAAAACATTAAATGCATTTTTATTACCTTTTTTTACGTTTTGAAATCAAGTTCGAAGTAAATTTTTTGATTGAGCTGAAGGCAGGTTGTGTTGAATGCACTGTCAAATAATTTGCGATTCATAATTCAAGTGGTTGGTAAGAAAAATGTATAGTAGAACTTATCTGCTTTTAATAAAATTGTGTTATATATTAAATTGTGTGACTGCTTTATCTATATTATGAGCTATTAGCAGTCTGAAACCTCGACTGGTATCAAACGGTTCGGAGAGGTCCTTCCCAATTCTGACAGAGCTGGTGGGATACCATATTCAGACATCGCGGCATGAATACAACTTCTTTTCGTGTTTTCGAAAGCGGCTTTGAAATCGACCAATAGGTGCGTTTTGATCCTAATTTCGCGGGTCTTTTCCAAGATTTGGCGTATTATGAGTACCTGATCTATGGTGGGTTTTCCAGGTCTAAAGCCACACCTCATAAGGTCCAATCAGTTCGTTGACGGTGGGCTTCAGTCTTTCACACAATACGCTTGACAAGACCTTGTAATCTATGCTTAGAAGGCTGATCCCGCGGTAGTTGGCGCGTATGGCGTAGTCTCCTTTTTTGTGGATTGGGCAGAGCACACTTAAATTTCAGTCGTCGGGCATGGGCTCATCTGACCATATTCTGCATAAGAGTTGATGCATGCACCTTATCAGCTCCTCCCCGCCGTACTTGAATAGATTGGCTGGCAGGCAGTCAGCTCCAGCAGCTTTATTGTTTTCAGCCGCGTAATCGCTATTCGTATCTCGTCATAGTCAGGTGGTCGGACATCGACTCCATCGTCATCGACTGTGGGCTCGGGTTCTTCTTCTCCACTTTTTTCAGTCCTGCCGTCATTCAATAAAAGGGGAAAAGTGTTCCCTCCATAATTTAAGTATGTTCTGGCCATCAGTCACTAGGTCGCCATGGTTGTTCTTATAAGAGTTCGCCCTGGGCTTGAAATCTTCCCTATGTCACCTAACTCCCTGTAAAATTTTCGGGCGGTTTTCCTCGCACTCACGTACTTCGGCCTGTCTCTTCTTAATGCGGCCTACATGGCTTGCGTTACACCCGATCGCACTCCTCATTGTACCAGTTGTTCTTTCGGGCTGTCTGAAATCCGTTGTTTCTTCGGCGGCGGTACTTAATAAGCGGCCCATTAATTCATATATTTTAACATTCAAAATTCTTAAAAAAAAAAATCATGACCGGAGATATAAAAACTAAAAACACAGCTGGACTACATTTGCCACATAGTTTCGCAAATATGTTTAATTTTTTGTGATATGAAAGAAAGTATTTGAAATTTCTACCATTTTTTCGAGATCTTTCGATTTTTCTCTAAATCTGCTCAGATTTTTTTCGGAATCTTTCATAAATGTCTTGAGATTTGAATTTTTCAAGATTTTATTGCGATTTTCTTTAGATCTATCAGAATTTGTTAGAGATCTTTGCAGCTTCGTTCCAGTTTTTTCATGATTTCTGGGAGATTTTCGGGAGTTTTCGGGCCTTTCCAATTTTATTCGTGATAGTCAAGACCATAGTCCATAGTTTACTGAAGGTCTTTGCTTTTTATTAGCCTAAGTACTGTCTCAGGAGTGTTTACAAAATTGTTATAAACCAAAGTTCTTTAGCCTACTTTTAATATCGCTACAAGTACAAGTAAGGTAAAGTAAACCTAGCATTCATTACATTCCAGACTTGTCGAAGTTCCAGTTCAGACATCTAAAACTAATAATTATTTCAATTCAAGCTGATTCATTGCGTATTTCCTCATCTTTTCATTGCGTTCATACATATATAGATTCATATGTACGTGTATGTGTATTTTTAACCATTTTTCAATCTGCTATACCTTTTTCATACCCAAGTACCTGCTTGCTCTTCTTTTACTCAGCTTTTTTTTTACCTTAAAACAAACAAATACGAATACTTGATTTATGATCCCACAGCAGCAAGTTTTGCTCATAGCATTGTTATGTCATTGATGTTGGCACTGTTTTCGATTGCCTGCCAGTTAAGTTGTTCTTCGTTTTGCACCAATGCATCAGCAAATATCGTATACACAATTGGCATCAGTTCGGCTATGCAGTCATTGTCACTTGGCTTGACTTTTCTCACTATTTATTTATTTATCTTTTTCCTTTTCTAATTTTATTTATTTGTTTTTCTCTTTTAGTGAGGAGGTTTTGTTTATTTTTAAATATTCCTGTCTGCGTGTGTTGACAAATCCTGATGCGGATATTAGGTCAAATTTAGGTTGTAACTGGAAATTGCCGATGACACTTTGTTAAATTAAAAAAAAAAAATTTAATAAAATATCTCCGAGACCTTTTTCCAACATTTTATTAGTTTATTGGTGTTGGTTTTTGCGGTTATCATACGAGCATTGGACTGAGAGTTTTACATCATTTCACGTATATAACATTAGACTATTAAAAATATAACGAATTTTATGACTTAAGCCAGGCAAGCACAGTCTTAGTTAAAATGTTTTTAGCAAAAAATAGCTGACTAAAGTTTTTGCTGTACTTAGGAACATACATACATAGTAAGGCGGTCCAAAAAATTCATTTTCCGTAACAGCACTTTAGGACCGGGTTATAATGGAAGTAACTGAATGGAATGAACTGTCACATAATTATCTATTGTATGTTTAACAAATAAATTTATAATGCAATCAATAAATCCTTACTAATTCGCTGCCGTGCCGTGTTACGATTCGCCCCGTGCTATTTAAGTCCTCGTTCATTTGATACCAAACTTGTTTAATTTGGATAAGCGATTTGTTTATTATCCGGAAAGTACTTTTATTTCGGAATAAAAATACTTAGCCAAGTTTAACTCGTAAAAAAAAACTGTAATTTTCGGTCCCATCAATATTCGCATTCGCACAAGATACGCATGTGTTTTGCGAATGCGAAAGCGAATGCGAATGTTAAAATTAATGCGAAAGCTCCGCGGTTGCGAATGCGTATGCAAATATTCGCAACAACTACTCTAACAAATTATACGCACAATGACAAATATGAACACATGCCCTGTAAACCAAAGTTCCCGAAATCTTAAGGAAATCGTTAGGAGTATCTGATTTCTGTAACGATTTTTTTACGAATTTTCAAAAAAAATTATATGAAGGGGTTGACACGAACTCGTAAAGAAATTTCTGTACGAAAATAAAGAAAATTCTGGAAAAATTCTGAAAGATATTCTTCACATAGCAGCATTATTTTCGTTGCTTCACAGATTTTCTTCCGAAATTTCGTAAAAGAATGGAAGTCTGCGTAATTTATTTCATTTTAGAAAATTCGGCAAAAAATCGAATTAAATCTTAACGAATTCTTTACAACTTCTTTACAATGCAGAATACTCTGAAAAAATGGTTTGCAGGGTGTACAACAAACACATAGTAATTCTTGACAACCAGTACAATTCGCATTGATATCAACGAGCAGCGTTGCTAGCTCTGATTAGATTAGTTTTCGTTTGTAGATACTACATACATATGTGCATGTTTAACATCTTACTAAATATATCTTAACCAAAGATTTTCGAAAAAAATTACGAAAAATTGTTCATTCTCACAAAATAAACCATCTCGTCATAAAGAAATATATTTTAAAAATTGTTCTTTAAAACCCCCAATTTTTTTATCCACGATTTGTATAGAGAATTGCGGTGGTATAGTTTTAAGTCTCTAATTTACTAGTCTTCTAGCTAGCTATCCTTGTCGAGTGTGGGCCATATTTGATGTGCTTTTCCACGCGCCTGTGATCTGCTTCATCTTTTGTTTGCCATCTCGACATATTAGCTTTTAGGATAAAAGTGGTATACCTAGTTTAAGGGAGGTAATTGCGAAAGTAAGAGACTACTAGGCTCGACTTTTAGTAAAAAAAAATGAGCTTGAGCTCCAACCTGCATCCGAATCCCAGCACTTTGGAACGTATCGTAGCTTTGTGGTGTTTTGATCTCTAAATTCGGGTAGACTTGACTTCTGGAGATTGCTCT